AACATGGCTGGCTGTGGAATTCTGGGAGTTGAACTCCACATGTCTTAAAGCAGCCGGGATGGAGAAACCTCGCTATAATTGAAAAAAAAAATCCATGATGGCTGCAGGCAGAGGTTCAACCGCATCATGATGGCTGCCATTGTGACTTTTTTGACCCAACTTGACCTTTCACACTGGTCTCTGGGTTTCTGTTCTAGGGTAACAAGTATGTTTGGAATCGAATTGACCTCTTGCAAGCTGCCAGTGACCCGAAAGTTCGTCGTCTTATGGGTAAAGATTCAAAATGCTTATTTCCCCCCCACACACACACATACACACACACCTGCCCACTGTGTGTGTTGCCCCCCCCCCCTTAATGGCTGTGAGTGGCTTCGGAAGGAAAGTTATTAATCTCAGTTTACAGATCCTGGAGAAGCTGGTTACAAAGAGAGGGTCCTTCTCAGGCTGCTCACAATTTCAGATTGTGTGTGTGTGTGTGTTTGTTGCTGTGACGTTACACAGGGGGAAGAAAGGACTTCCCTGTCCAGCTCTAGAGAGAAAGTTTTAAACAGCAGCATTCTGACGTGCAATTTAACCCCCATCTCAAAATTTGCAATTCAAAACATTTGGGTTTGATTGAAGAACAGGAGAAGGCCGTTAAAAAATTCCTCCTCCTTTCTAGTTAATTCCCCAAGCTTGAATTGAATCATAAAAAAAGCAAATGGCGTGGATTTGTGCTTTGGGTAGAACCCACCCAAAAGCTAACTCAGATATCACCAACCAAGCATGTCGTATGAATGCAGCCAGAATGTCTTTATCCGATCTTGCAACACGTGTGAGGTGATTGCAGCTCTCTGAGTGGTTTGAACCCTGGACGTTCAACCTAGGCCAGGGGTAGGCAACCTGAGCTCTTTTATGACTCGTGGACTTCAACTCCCAGAATTCCTCAGCCAGCATGAGGGAACTATGGACCCCTTTATGACTCGTGGACTTCAACTCCCAGAATTCCTGAGCCAGCATGGGGGAACTATGACCCCTTCATAACTTGCGGACTTCAACTCCCATAATTCCTGAGCCAGCATGGGGGAACTATGGCCCCCTTTATGACTTGCGGACTTCAACTCCCAGAATTCCTGAGCCAGCATGGGGGAACTATGGCCCCCTTTATGACTTGCGGACTTCAACTCCCAGAATTCCTGAGCCAGCATGGGGGAATTATGGCCCCTTCATGACTCAACTTCAACTCCCAGAATTCCTGAGCCAGCATGGGGGAACTATGGCCCCTTCATGACTCGCGGACTTCAGCTCCCAGAATTCCTGAGCCAACATGGCTCAGCTTGGAAACCTCTCCCTTTCCCCTCAGCGTGGCTGGCTCAGGAATTCTGGGAGTTGAAGTCCACAGTCATAAAAGAGCCAAGGTTACCCACCCCTGCCCTAGGCCTAGGCCGCTTTATGACTCGTGGACTTCAACTCCCAGAATTCCTGAGCCAGCCGTGCTGAGGGGAAAGGGAGAGGTTTCCAAGCNCATGAAACGTCTGCAAGAAAACCACCCAACTCAGAGAACACCAAGGGCCCCAGGAAATAATGTTTTCTGCACACTCTCCTTCCCTTGGCAGGTGGTCCTGGGTGGGGGCAGGAAATACATGACCCCTCAAGGCACGCCAGACCCCGAGTACCCCACCCAAAACTCAACCAGAGGGGTTCGTAAAGATAACAGAAACCTGATTGAGGAATGGCTCCAAGCTTCACCGGTAAGTGATATTCTTTTTCCGCCTCTTCTCCCATCGGCTGCAACTCCATTTGGGGCGGAACTACAGATCTCAACATTTCTCCAGCAGAACGGCCGTTACAGGTAGTCCTCAACTTACCACAGTTCGTTTAGTGACGGTTCACGGTTACAACGCCACTAAAAAAAATGACTTAGGACCGTTTTGCATATTTACAACTGTCGCAGCCTCCCCATGATAATAGACCCTTGGTGACTGACTCGTGTTTATGACGGTCGCAGCATCCCCCGGGGTCCTGTGATCCCCTTTTGCCACCTTCTGACAAGCAAGACCAATGGAAAAGCCAGATTGATTGAACCCCTGCAGTGTTTCACTTAAGAACTATGGCAAGCCGGGTCGTAAAACAGGGCAACAGCGCAGCAACTGCTTAGCGACAGAAATTTGGGGCTAAACAGTGGCTGTAAAGTCGAAGACTGCCTGTATTCCACACGCTGGGAAGAGGGTTCAGTTCAAAGAAACGGAAACTTAAAAACACTGAAAGTTTTTAAGAAGAGATGGGAACGACCATTTGCCTGAAACGGTATAGGGTTTCCTGCCTGAGCAGGGGGCTGGACTAGATGACCTCCAAGGTCCCTTCCGGTTCTGTTATTCTATTTTCTAAATGGCAGAGGATAGGCTGTTGCACTTGAGAGGCTGGAGGCCAAGTGTATGAATTGTGGGTTTTTTTGGGGAGGGTGGAAGGGTACTTAACTTGTGAATGGCTGACATTCTGCCCCAAGATAGAATAGAATAGAATAGAGCTGGAAGGGACCTTGGAGGTTATCTAGTCCAACCCCCTGCTCAGGCAGGAAACCCTATACCATTTCAGACAAACGGCTGTCCAGTCTCTTCTTAAAAACTTCCAGTGTTGGAGCATTCACTGCTTCTGGAGGCAGATTGCTCCACTGATTAATTCAGGGGGTCTTCAAACTTGGCCCTTTTATGACTGGTGGACTTCAACTCCCAGAATTCTGGGAGTTGGTCCACAAGTCATAAAAGGGCCAAGTTTGAAGACCCCTGTCTTAGATGAGCCCAGGGACCTTTGAACAGCTCCAAAGACCTGTGTTAGCAATCTTAAGATTGTGTGGACTTCAACTCCCAGAATTCCCCAGCCAACATGGCTGGCTGTGGAATTCTGGGAGTTGAACTCCACATGTCTTAAAGCAGCCGGGATGGAGAAACCTCGCTATAATTGAAAAAAAAAATCCATGATGGCTGCAGGCAGAGGTTCAACCGCATCATGATGGCTGCCATTGTGACTTTTTTGACCCAACTTGACCTTTCACACTGGTCTCTGGGTTTCTGTTCTAGGG